CACTTGCACAGCCTCCTGCTCCTCCAGCCACTCGAAGATGAGGTCATTCATGGTGTAGCCAACTGGAGGGGACGGAGGGAGCAGTGGGACAGGGGGACATGCACCCCATTAATCCCCACCCTGAATGATGGCTCCTTCCTGCTCACCTCCTTCAGAAGCAGGGAGATGCCAGCTTTGGAATGAGGTATCGGGATGGGATGGGATGAGGTGGGATGGGATGAGGTGGGATGGGATGAGGTGGGATGGGATGAGGTGGGATGGAGGGGGACGAAGCACAGCTTGAACCCCCCTAGGTACTCACAGCTCTCCAGCTGCATGGTGCATGTCTGGATGTCCATGGGGAAGTTCTTGAGGTCCATGGGGCAGGACAGGATCAGCGTCAGCCTAAATGAAGCAGAGGAAAGGCGGGGGTTGCTGGGGGCTGGAGTGGTCGGGGGGAAAACTGCCCCATGGGAGGCAAGAGCAAAGCTTCTCCTCCCCACTTGGGCACTGCACCAGAGGAGAAGTGTTCTACCTGATGCTGTAGAGCACGTTGCCGTTCTTGAAGATGCGCAGCAGCTTGTTGTCGGTGGTGACCTCGTGGAAATTGGCCCCTTTCTCGTTGGCGAAGAACAAGTCCGGCTTCCAGATGGAGTCCAGCATGGAGGGGTCGAGGTCGAGGGAGTCGTCGGGGTACTCGCGGTAAGCCAGGCGGGGGTCGTTCCACTGCTGCCGCAGGAAGACGTTCACCCGGTAGTCCTGGGGCAGAGGGCACCACCTCAGCCGGGAGCACCCCACTGGTGCCCGGGGAGGCGGAGGAAGAGGAGGAAGAGATGGAGGAGGAGGTGGGAGGGAGTCTCTTGGTCAAGGCTCAGGTGCTGCCTGCCTGCCACTAGTGATGCACGGGGAAGGGGCAGCTCCTGCCCACGCTGTCAGCAGCCAGGGGAAATGAAAAAGCCAAAGCCAGGGCAGCCAAAAGGAGGAGAAGGAGGAGGAGCTGTTCCTCACAGTGTTCCTCACAGGGCTCTGTGGCCCTCTGGGGGGTTGATGTGACAGTTGAGGGTATTAAGGCTTTGCAGCAGCACAAATAGGGAATTTTTAGCTCTGGGGCTTCCTCACGCACCTAAGAAGGCTGGGGCTGGAGGGGACACAGAGCTGTGCTGAGCCCGTGAACAGCAGGGAACTACTGCTGCCTGCCCTGCTCCAACCCTTTGGGGTGTTTCTCCCAGGCACGGGGGGATGTGTTCCACACAGCCAAGCTCTGGTTAAATGACCCCAGAAAAGCCACAGCCATTTGCTGTGGCTCTGCACGTCCCCACTGTAGTGCCAGGGCTGGCTCTGGAGAAGGGCTCCCGGCCACCGGGACCCAGATGTTGTCCAGCAGAGCCACCACCAGCCCCGAGGCACTGGGAGAGGAGCCCGTTGCGCTGGCGAAACCCTCACCATGGTGGTCTCGGTGACGGAGCCGAAGCTGTTGATGAAGATGTTGCATGTCACGTTGACGGGTGGACCTGGAAAACAGCAGGAAGCCTCCTCTCGCCGCTGGCCGGGGAGACACAGGCACTGCACGGGCACACGGGGAGGGGGGCTGCCTCTGGCATGGGCTGTGTGGATGGACACACCCGAGCATCCCCCTGCCCCTGGGGTCACCCCCAGCACACCCTGGGAGCTTGCAGGGCAGCTGCCACCGCAGGAGCCGCCGGGACTCCGGGAAGAGTGTTGGGATGGAGGGAGATGTGGGTCAGGGTCCTGCCCCCTTCCCTGGTTTTGGGCAGCCATAAGTGTGGTCACTGCCAGGTTTGGGAGCCTCCTGTCCTCCCCTTACCTTTGAAGTTGGGGCGGATCCGGGCGTCATACCCTGAGGTTCGTCCCATGAGCTTGTCCAGGAAATCGGAGGGGGACATGGGCTGGGGCGAGCTTCGGGAAGCAGCTTTAATCTCCTCCCGCCCTGAGACCAGCCTGCAGGGCAGAGGAGCCAGGTTAGCTGCCTGCTGGCACTGAGGGTCTGCGGGCACATTTTGGCACCCCCTGGGATTGCCAGCTGCCAGGGGAAGTGGCCGTGTCCGTGCTGCATCCACTCTAGCATCCAAGGACCCCTGCCTCCCTCTGCCGTGATCCCAGCAGCTTCCCCCCTTGCCCACTGCAGCCCAAATGCCATGTTTCCATGCCATGCATTGCCTGTGCCCCTGCCAGCAGAGCCCCTGGCATGGCATTGGGGCCAGGTGATAGCCTCCTGCATGGCAGCCAGGCTCTGTCCTGGTGCCAGAGGGGGAAAGCAGGTCCCTCCTGGGTTCAGTCACCAACCCTGGCTTGAGTTGCTGAGAAAACATCTGTACCCTGCATGGCTGGAGGGTTTGGGGGCTGGAGGGACACACAACAACCCCTTCCAAGGTGTGAGCTGGCCTGGCGTGAGCGAGGAGGTGCCCAGGAGGGCACCAGCTGGGGTTGTGACACCTTCCCAGGGGCCGAGGTGATGTGGCAGGAGAGGAGCAGCAGAGCCCTCCTCTGCACCGGCCGTGGCACCGAGCTGAGCTGACACGAGCTCTCCCACGCAGCGCTCCTAACGATGATGGAGACTTATTTAAACTGACCTTGGAGGGGATGTTTTTGCAAACGCGTCTTAGCTCTGCCGGTTCCTCTCCTTCCGTCAGTCTATAATGATCATTTCAAGGAACAATGCGAGAGACGTTCGCTCACCACATTGTTGGGCATGTGGCTGTGATGGAGAGGAACTAGCTGGAGACCTCCGGACACAAAGGGAGCTTTGAGCAGGCTGCTGGTGCTGCTGCTCGCTGCCTCATAACTCCACCAGGTCCATGTCCCAGGTGGATCCCACTCCTGCTTGGAGCTACAACGCCGGTATCACAAGCAGAGGATGATGCTGGGAGCTGGGACCCCCTGGGGTCCTTGTTTCTACCTTCTCGTTCCTACCAACACACCTTCTTCCTACCTTCTCTCAGGGGAGTGGGATTCGCTCCTTGTTGGCTAAAATGGCCACAACGGCCACCCCAAAATGATCCAGCCGGATTTTCCCTTAATCAGAGACGGGCAGCAGAGAGCTCCTGAGACAGGTCCTGGCCGAGAGCAAAAGACTGGGAGAAATTCCCCACCCAGGAGCTGCATTGGAGAGGTGGGAGGAGGGCTGCAAGAGGCCAGGGTAACAAGGAGTTAAATCAGGCCTCTGCCTGCCACAGTAGCCCTGAACCATGTCCTCCTCTGATGCTGGGAAGGAGGATGAGGAGGATGAGGGTACTCCCCAAGGAGCTCCACAGCAGCCAGCTCCTCGGAGAGGCTCAGCTCCCTGGCTGGATCCGCAGCCCCGGTGATGCTCGGACCTTGGGGACCGCAGAGGGTGCAGAGAAGCCCTGGTGGTGTCACTGGCAAGGGCCACGCTGGCTCACAGCCCCTGGGGCCTGGCTCTTCTCAGGGTTTGGCCGCAGCAGGTCTCCAGTTTGGGCACTGCCTGCCCCAGGGGACTCTACTGCTGAACTGGTCCAGGCACTGCGGGGCCCTGGAGCTCAGCGCCTCCCTGGAGCGAGGGGATGGTGGGGCTGGAAAATGCTCATTTCTGCCTAAAAATGCCACCCCCAGACAAGCAGTTTCTGCCTGTGATGACATTTGGACATGGTTTCCCCCGCTCCCCGCCACAAATGCTGCGGTTCCCCTCCACACTGCTCCAGCCATACTGGCCAAGTGATGGGAGGAGGAGTGGGGAGAGGGAGAGAGCTCAGCCCAGGGGTGCTGCAGCCCCCCAACCCCTCCCTGCCCTCCCCACCTTGTCCCAGATAGCACTCGAGGTGGTTGGAGAGGGGAAAAAGGGACCCAAGGGCTTTGGATTTTCCACCCAGGTGGGCCAAGTCTTCTTCCTGCACCCATGGGACCTGGGGTACCCACTGGTCTTGGTGACCCAGGGGGTGGGTCAGGGACTGTCCTGAGTCCCCCCCCAAACACCCCGACCCAGGAGAGGGTCTGGGCATCGCAGGGACTTTGCAGCACTGGAGAGAGAGCTACCTGGGGTATCACCTGGCTCAGCTCGCCCCTTTTCCCACCACAGCAAAGGTCCCCAGGTGGCCTGGGGCCAGAGGGACCCTCGGGGACCCAGCACTGGGGCAGGGGCTGCTGGGGACAGGCAGAGCCCGGGGGTGTGTGGCTGGGGCTGGAGGGGGAAGGGCTGGTGGGTCCCCAGGGTGCTGGGTGAGAGTCCCAGGGAATGGGGGAAGAGGCCAGATTTGGGGAGCTCCTGCAGCCGGTGAGAAGGTCTGGATC